TTCTTTGCAAGAAAGAATGACGTAGAGAGGTAGAGACAGAGGTCTTGCACCTGCTGGTTCGATGCCCACATGGCCAGGATGAAGACAGGAGGCTGGGTCTCCCGTGTGGGTGGCAGGGGCCCACATACTTGGATTGAAGTGGGGCAGCTGGGACTGGAGCCCATGCAGCAGGCAGCTGAACCCACTGTGCCACGAAGCCAGCCCCTATAATTCTGAGTTCTAAAACCCTCAGACCATTTTTCTCTTTTCTTGACCTTCTTGTAAATGGATTCAAGTAATTCTTATTACTTTTTCAGTTTCTTTCACTCAACATAATGCTTTAAGAATTTTTTTGAAAGGTAAAGTGATGGGGGAGAGAGAGAGAGAGAGAGAGAGAGAGAGAGAGAGAGAGAACGAGCTCTTCCTTCTACTAGTTCACTCCCCAAATGGCCACAACAGTTGGGGCTGGGCCAGGCTGAAGCCAGGAGTCAGGAGCTACTCCTGTGTCTCGACCTGGCTGCAGGGCCCATGTACTTGGGCATCTTTTCCTGCTTTCCCTAGGCCTTTAGCAGGGAGCTGGGTCAGAAGTGGAGCAGCCAGGACATGAATGGGTGCCCATATGGGATGTAAGCATCAAAGGTGGCAGCTTAGCCTGCTGTGCCACAGTGCCAGCCCCAAGACTTTTTTATAGCAGGTATGTAGTTACATTTCATTGTGTTTTTAGCTTACATTAATTAAATTACTTAGTGATTGATGATATCGAGTATCTTTCCATGTGCGTATTTACCATCCACATCTTTTTTTTGTGAACTGTTTTATTCTTTTGACTGCTTTTCTTTCTTTTTATTTATTTATTTTATTAAAGACAGAGTTACAGAGAGAGGGGGGGAGAGAGAGAGAGAGAGAGAGAGAGAGAGGTCTTCCATCAGCTAATTCACTCAGCTGGAACTGAGCGGATCTGAAACCAGCAGACAGGAGCATCTTCTGGGTCTCCCACGTGGGTGCTAGGGCCCAAGCACTCAGGCCATCTTCTGCTGCTTTCCCAGGTGTACTACCAGGGAGCTGGACTGGACTAGAACACTACATCACAGCGCTTGCCCCTTGATTGATTTTCTTTTTTAATTTTTGTTATAAAAGACTTATTTATTTATTTGAAAGTCAGAGTTACACAGATAGAGAGGTCTTCCATCTGCTGGTTCACTCCCCAATTGACCACAACAGCTGGAGCTGGGCCAAAGCCAGGAGCTTCTTCAAGGTCTCCCACATGGGTGCAGGGGACCAAGGACTTGGGCCATCTTCCACTGCTTTCCCAGGCCACAGCAGAGAGCTGGATTGGAAGTGGAGCAGCTGGGACTCAAACCCGTGCCCATATGTGATGCCAGCAGCATAGCGCTCACCCCTAACTATTACATTTTTCAGTTCATATTTTCAACCAAGGATATTTTTGGTCCTTTCCTCAAATTTTCCTTGTCATTTTTTTTATAGTCTCCTGTTGCTTTCTGGTTTTTTTTCTACATTTTTTGTTAAATATTTCATTCATAGTTTTATTTTGCTTTTTAGATTCCAATTTGTAGTATCCTTACAGACCTAAATCTAAATCATTCACGGTGCATTATTCCCTGGGTGTCTAGTGGCCTGTGATTGTGAGATTGTATTTTATTGATCTCAATTTTTAAGGCTCCCAAAGGCCTACATTTGAGATATTTTGCTCCAGAGCAAAAATGTCAGCTGTTTCTGCCCGGAGCCAGAGGTTGTCACAACCTGAGCCGGCCTTGGCGTCGTTCAGGACTTCCGGGTTAGTGCAGGAACCTCCAGGTAGCCTCTGCTCCTTGCGATGGGCTCATAGTTGCCTGCAATACCAGCACCGGCAGAAGCACAGGTTCTCAGCGCACGCGTGGCGAATGAATGAAAAGCAGTAGCTCTCACAACAGGAAGAAGTAAGAGGGCTGTGGGGATGCGGAGAAACGAGGGAATATTGTTCCTGGACTGAACAGAACCATGAGGAGGGAAGAATTCATGAAAGAGCTAGCGTCTGAGCTCGCCCTGAGTGACAAGGCAGTCCAGGACCGGGGTTTATCTCAGGGGCTGAGGCCCGCAACCCACACCAGAGCACCTGGGTTCTGTTCCCAGCTCTGGCTTCTAAACTCCAGCGTAGAGATGTGTTTTCTCTTCTCTTTTTTTGACAGGCAGAGTGGACAGTGAGAGAGAGAGAGAGAGAGAGAGAAAGGTCTTCCTTTTCTGTTGGTTCACCCTCCAATGGCCACCACGGCCGGCGCGCTGCAGCCAGCGCACCGCGCTGATCCGAAGGCAGGAGCCAGGTACTTCTCCTGGTCTCCCATGGGGTGCAGGACCCAAGCACCTGGGCCATCCTCCACTGCACTCCCTGGCCACAGCAGAGAGCTGGCCTGGAAGAGGGGCAACCGGGACAGAATCCAGTGCCCCGACCGGGACTAGAACCCGGTGTGCCGGCGCCGCTAGGTGGAGGATTAGCCTAGTGAGCCACGGCGCCGGCCTAACTCCAGCTTCTTGCTGATGCAGATCTTGGGGGACAGCCTGATCTTTAAGTAGTTGAGTCCGTTGCCACCCATGTGGGAGACCTGGCCTGTGATCCTGGCCCAGCCCTGGCCCAACCTTAGCCACTGCAGATATCTGGGGAGCTCTGTCTGTCTTTCTGTGTCTCTCTGCCTCTCAGATAAAATAACAGGGGGGCTGGCATTGTGGCCTAGCAGGTTAAGCCACTGCTTGTGATGCCAGCATCCCACATCACAGTGCTGGTTTGCATCCCGGCTGCTCCGCTTCTGGCTAATGTGCCTGGGAAGGCCGCAGAGGATGGTCCAAATACTTGGGCCCCTGCCACCCACAGGAGAGTCCAGGATGGTGCTCCTGGCTCCACCCTGCCTCAGACCTGGCTGTGATGGCCACCTGGGGAGTGAACCAGCAGATGGAACATCTCTCTCTCTCTCTCTCTCTCTCCCTCTCTTCCTATTGCTCTTTCAAATAAATAAATATTTAAAAACAATAATTTTTAAAAGATAAGGAGGGAGCCGGCGCCGTGGCTCAATAGGCTAATCCTCCACCTTGCGGCGCCGGCACACCGGGTTCTAGTCCCGGTTGGGGCGCCGGATTCTGTCCCGGTCGCCCCTCTTCCAGGCCAGCTCTCTGCTATGGCCAGGGAGTGCAGTGGAGGATGGCCCAGGTGCTTGGGCCCTGCACCCCATGGGAGACCAGGAAAAGCACCTGGCTCCTGGCTCCTGCCAGGATCAGCGCGGTGCGCCGGCTGCAGCGGCGGCCATTGGAGGGTGAACCAACGGCAAAGGAAGACCTTTCTCTCTCTGTCTCTCTCTCACTGTCCACTCTGCCTGTCAAAAAAAAAAAAAAAAAAAAAAAAAGAAAAAAAAAAAAGATAAGGAGGGGTGGAGGGGTGGTGTGCAGCAGGTTAAACTGCCCCTTGACACATCCACATCCCATCTAGCTGCTCCGCTTCTGATCCAGCTTCCTGCTTGTGCACCTGGGAAGGCAGAGGATGATGGCTCAAGTGCTTGGGGCCCTGCACCCACGTGGAAGACCTCGAGGAAGCTCCTAGCAACTGGCTTTGGCCTGGCCCAGCCCTGGCTATTGTGGCCATTTGTGGAGTGAGTCAGTGGATGGAAGATCTCTCTCCCTCTCTTTGTCTCTCCTTCTCTCTGTAACTCTACCTCTCAAATAAATAAATTTTACAAAACAAAAACAGATGAAGAAACAGGTACAGGTACAGAGAGGTTAATTATCTCGCCCAGGATCCAGGGGGAGAAAAAGACAGGGTCTAAAATCAGTCAGCCCACTTTTTTTTTTTTTTTTTTTTTTTTTTTTTACAGGCAGAGTTAGACAGTGTGAGAGAGAGACAGAGAGTTATAGACAGTGAGAGAGACAGAGAGAAAGGTCTTCCTTCTGTTGGTTCACTCACCTAATGGTTGCTACAGCTGGCGCTGTGCTGGTCTGAAGCCAGGAGCCAGGTGCTTCCTCCTGGTCTCCCATGAGGGTGCAGGGATGTGCCTGCCTGCAGCACAATGAACGGGGTTTCCTGAAACAGCAAGTGGGAATGCGGGGACAAGGACACAAAGAATGGAGCCAAGACAAATCCTGATCAAGGCTGTTTATTCAACAAGTCCAGTAGTATTTAAACATGACCAGTTGTATACAGAAGATTTACATATCCAAAAGACTTTTGGGGTTACAAAGGGTCTTCCACTTAACAGATCGCAAAATGTTATCAATCATTGATTACAAGGGTATAATAAAACACCTAGGTGATAAATGCAGGTTTCAGGTGTGACTGATTATCTACATCATCTCTTGTGAGAAGTCTAACAGTGAGATAAGGAAGGTCCTGCCTCTTCCTGGAACCTCCTTAGCCTTTTGTCTGTGCTGTAATAAGATATAGGAGGCTGTTCTTCATTTTTTTTTTTTAACAGGCAGAGTGGACAGTGAGAGAGAGACAGAGAGAAAGGTCTTCCTTTGCCATTGATTCACCCTCCAATGGCCGCCGTGGCTGGCGTGCTGCGGCCAGCGCATCGTGCTGATCTGAAGGCAGGAGCCAGGTGCTTCTCCTGGTCTCCCATGGGAGACCATGGGGTGCAGGGCCCATGGGATGCAGGGCCCAAGCACTTGGGCCATCCTCCACTGCACTCCCTGGCCACAGCAGAGAGCTGGCCTGGAAGAGGGGCAACCGGGACAGAATCCGTCGCCCCGACCCGGACTAGAACCCGGTGTGCCGGCGCCACAGGCGGAGGATTACCTATTGAGCCGCGGTGCTGGCCCATCCATATGTTTAAGTGTAAAGAAAAAGGGAGACTGCCTGCGGCTGCCCACACAAGGACCCAAGCACTTGGGCCATCCTCCACTGCCCTCCTGGGCCACAGCAGAGAGCTGGACTGGAAGAGGAGCAACCAGGACTAGTACCCAGCACCCCATCCGGGACTAGAACCTGGGGTGCTGGCACCACAGGCAGAGAATTAGCCAAGTGAGCCATGGCGCTGGCCATCTTTTTTTTTTTTTTTTTAATATGTATTTATTTATTTGACAGGCAGAGTTACAGAGATACAGAGGCAGAAGGGGGGAGGGAGGGAGAGAGAGAGGGAGGGAGAGAGAGAGAGGTCTTCCATCTGCTGGTTCACTCCCCAGATGGCCACACGGCCGGAGCTGCACAGGAGCCAGGAGCTTCTTCCAGGTCTCCCACGCAGGTGCAGGGGCCCAAGGACTTGGGCCATCTTCTACTGCTTTCCCAGGCCACAGCAGAGAGCTGGATCTGAAGTGGAGCAGCCGGGACTAGAACTGGCACCCATATGGGATGCCGGCACTGCAGGTGGCGGCTTTACCCACTATTCCAGAGCACCAGCCCCTCAGCCTATACATTCTTAACCATCATGTGATGCTGGACAGAAGACGCAAGCTGTGTGGAGTTTTAGGAGGGCCAGTGTGGTCCCTGAGGGCCCACCTGGGAGGGCCACAGGCAGCACAGAGGCCCTCCGGGAATGGAGGGACTGTGGGCAGGTGTTAGGTGCAGGGGATGCAGCTGTTGCTCCAAACCCCCACGTCTCCTATTGGGAGTGCCTGGGTTAAGGCCCTGCTGTTCCATGCTTCTGATCCAGGTTCCTGCCTGGAAGGCAGCAGATTATGGTCAAGATATTTGAGTTCCTGCCACCCACGTGGGAGATCTGGGTGGAGTTCCAGACTTCTGGCTTTGGCCTGGACAAGCAGATATTTGGGGAGTGAATTAGTGGATAGGAGCTCCCTCTCTTTCTCTCTGCCTCCCCCCTCTCCCTCTACCTCAGATAAATGAATCAATCTTTACAAAATATTTATTTTATTTGAAAGGCAGAGTTATAGAGATGAGACACACACACATACACACACAGAGAAATCTTCCACCTGCTGGTTTATTCCCCAGATGGCCACAATGGCAGGGGCTGGTTCAGGCCAAAGCCAGGAGCCTGGAGCTCTCTGGGTCTCCCACTTCTGCTCTCCCAGGTGCATTAGCAGGGAGCTGGACTGGAAGTGGAGTAACTGGGATGGGATCTAGAGCTCTGATGTGAGATGTGGCGTTGCAAGCAGTAACTTAACCATCGCACCACAACGCCGGCCCCTCTCATCCTGTCTTGTGCAGTCATGCTGCCTAGCACCTGGTAACTATGCCCTAAGTAATTGTCAAGTGAATGAATGAAGGAGTTGTTTGACCTTGGACAAATTGTACATTTTTTTCTTTTTTAGGAAAATGAGGCCAGCATGTGGCACGGCAGGTTCAGCCTCCACCTGTGAAGCCAGCATGTGATGTGAGTGCTGGTTCCAGTCCTGGCTGCTCCACTTCTGATCCAATTCCCTGCTAATGCACCTAGGAAAGCGGCAGAAGATGGCCCAGGTGCTTGGGCCAATGCCATCCACGTGGGAGACCAGGATGAAGTTCCTGGGTCCTGGCTTCAGCCTGGCCCAGTGACAATGGTTGCCGATATTCGGGGAGTGACCCAGCAGATGGAAGATTCCCCTCTCCCTTCCTCTGTAACTCGACCTTTCAAACAAACAAAATCTTTTTCTTAAAAAAATTATTTATGAGGCAGAGATAAATACAGACAAATGGAGCTTCTATCCATGGCTCCCTCCTCAAATGCCTGTAATGGCCAGGGCTGGGCTAAAGCTGGGAGCTGGGAACACACTCCAGGTTTCCTGTGTTGGGGGCAGGGACCCACATATTGAAGCCATTGCCTGCGGCCTCCACCTCCCAGGGTGTTCATTAGCAGGAGGCTGGAATGGGGAATGGTGCTGGGCTCAACCTCGGGCACTGCAATGTGAGTGTGGGCACCACACCAGTGTCTTCACCACCTGTCAAAGCCAACTCCAAGTTCCTGGTCTCCTGTGATCGCTGGGTCTCATTGTGTGTATGTAAAACGAAGGGATTGGACTAGAATGTATAACACTAGATGGAAGGTCCTCTTCCTCTTGTGAAAGGGGTAGGGATTCCTCTCCCCTCCCTGGGGCCCCAGGAGCACCCCTAGAACTCTGCTTCCTTTTATAAATGTTTATTTATTTTCATCTATTTGAAAGGCAGAGAGAGAGGGAGAGGAAGAGGAAGGGAGAGGGGGAGAGAGAGAGAAAGGAGAGAGGGAGACATCTTCCATCCGCTGGTTCACTCCCCAAATGCCTACAACATGCAGGGCTGGGCCAGGCTGAAGGCGGGAGCCAGGAGCTCCACCTGGTCTCCCACGTGGCGGGGTGGGGGGGCAGTGGGGGTAGCACATCTTCTGTTGCCTCCCAAGATGCCGGACCGGGAGATGCAAGCGTCCCAAGCAACAGCTTAATCACTGTCCCCCGAATGCCTGCCCAGAGCAGCGGCTCTAAGCCTCTCTTCAGGTTACAGGAACCAAGGCCCCAGGTCGCCACTGGTTCCAGAACATCTCCAGGTGGGGCTCATGCAGCCTCCAATGCACCCTGGAGCTGCCGGCGACCTAGTTTGAAAATCACGGGGCTAGGTGAGAACCGGGGGTCCTCTCTGACCCAGGGGCTTGGGCTGGGACTTGGCCCAGGCGACAGATCTCACTTTTCACGTCCCATCTCCCATCCCTAAACCAAAACCCCCTGAATGCGAAGGAACCACACACTACCGGCATTTTGCACAGGATCACTCTTTGCCGGCGCACAGTGGGGCGCTGAGGTGCATGCTTGGTCTCTACCCATTAGGTGCCAGTGGCACAGCCCCTGCGCCCAGCTGAACCCATCAGAACTGTCCCCATCCCCTGCAGTGCAACATCACCCCTGTTGAGAACCAGGGGCTTCGAGAGGCCGCTGTCGCTGTCGCTGTGTCCCCCTGCCCTCGCTGGCCGCAGACAGACGGGAGATGACGGAGGGGGTGGAGCAGCAGGTTTAGTTGGGCCCAGCGGGAGGAAGGCCCAGGCTTCTCGCTGGGACACAATGGAGGGAGCGCATGCCAGCGGCCTCACTGATGTGGTCTGGCTGCAGGGGGAGGGAGTTTTCCAGAACGCTCGTTCCCAGATCCCCAGTCAGTCACAAGAGGGCCCAGAGACGCTTCTGGGGCGGCCAGCCCCCGCTTTCCGGGAACAGAGCGAGGGCTGTGGGAGGGGTGGTGGTGGCGTGCAGGGGATTCTTTCCTTCTGTAGATAATTTCCTGGCAGGGTTGGCTGCCCTGTCTGATTGGTGGAGGGCCAGGGGGGGATGGAACTTTCCAGCTGCGGGTGTCTGGGTTCCTGGAGGCCATCTGATGCCGGGATGGTGGGGACATCTAGATTTTGGGGTCAGGAAGGCTGGGACCAGGGAGGGCTGCTGGTCGAGGTGTGGGGTATGCCCCTCTTAGAGGCAGCTGTCAGCATCTCACCAGTCACCTGCCGGCTCGGAGGTGTCGGGACCTGAGGGCAGAGGATGGGGGAGGGGCAGTGAGGAGGATGGGCGATGGGAGGCAGTGGGCAGTGTAGGAGGCCAGGAGGCCGTCTCCCGTCCCCACAACTCACTCCACCAGGAGGCTCAGAACGCCCAGGAGCAGGGCAGCTCCGGAGACGCAGAGGAGCAGAATCCTGGCTTCCCAAAGATCGTGACTTCCTAAAGAGAACCCAGGAGCCCGTCACGGATCCTGGGGACCATGCCCGCTGATGCAGGGGGAGCCCCGGGGCGCAGGGATCTGGGCAGGGTGGGCGGGGCTGGGGAGTAAAGACCTGGAGAGCAGCGCTTTCGGGGCCAACAGGACACCTCGGCACTCCTGCAGGTGGAGCAGTTGTACAGGATGGTGCTGCCCCCTGCAGGAGACAGCGGGCGCAGCACTGGGAAGGGGAGGCCCAGGCCTCTCCCCTTCCAGCTGCCTACCGACTTCCTCCCCAGCAACCGGTCTCTCCTCTGCTACCCGGGAGAGCCCTCTCCCTTTCTACTCACGGCAGGCCGGAGCACAGAGAGCTGCAATGAGATAAGGCAGGGGTGGCCTGGATGAGCCGCCTAGCCGCGCACCCCTTTGCCGCCCAGCCCAGCCGTGGGCATCCGTACCTTCCCTGGTGTACTGGGGGATCAGGGTCTTCTGCAGCCATTGCCAATAGGGTGGGAGTGAAGAGAGAGACCTTTTGATCTCTGAGGAGGCAGAGAGCAGCGATATTGCCCTGGGCCTCAACCCTGCCAGCTCCCAGCCCCTCCTCCCTGCCCAAGCCCCCCTCCTCTACCTCTCCAGCCCCAGCCCCCCTTCCCCTCCTGGGTTTCAGCCCAAGCCCCTTGACCTCACCGATGACCCTGAGGACTCTGTGAGTCTTCTCTGTGACCTTGTTCATGGTCACCTCATCTGTGGAGGTGGGCAAGGGCCAGTGACTCCCTCACTGGCACTGGGGGGGTTCTGGAGCCCCTCCTACTTCCCTGGGATCGCAGAGGGAGAGGCTGGGGTAGCCAGAGAGGGCTGAGAGGCACAGCTGAGAAGCCACATGCTACCCGCCTTGGGTTGGGGCTGACTGTTGCTGGCTCTGGGGTCAGGCCTTACCCAGGGCAAAGGCGGAGAAATCTGGGGAGGCCCATTCCTTCCACTGGGCCTCCATCTGGCTGCAGAGCCGTGCCAGGCGGCCTGACAAGTCTCTGTCCGGGAGGCGGCAGAAGATACAGGCCTGGGTGGCAGCCAGGAATACCCCAGCTAGTGCCAGGCTCCTCATGACGCCTGCCGGGTGGGGGGTGGGGGCAGGCACCCCTGGGCTGGGAAGGCCTCAGAATGCAGGGTTCCAGCCCTTCGCCTGGAGTGTTTCAGCACACTTGCTGGTTCTAGAATGTTCCAGAGCAATGCTAGTGCTCCATCCTTGGCTGGCATAAAGCTGGGTACAAGGAACTGCAATCCAGAAGACATGGAGATGGCCAGAGACAGAAGTGGGGAGCCAGAGCCTCAGCCTGGCTTCAGCAGTCTTCACAAAGCAATTTTATTTATTGTTCTTTGAAATCAAGGCCGGTGATAAATCACGAGTGACTTCTCCAGCAAAGCTGTGCATGTGTATCCCATCCGTCCACAAGGACCCCCAAGCCCCATATCCTCCCCCACTCTCCCTCCCTGCCCTGGGCAGCCTTGGGCCTTCCCCAGCTATCTCCTAGCAACAGGCTCATGGTTGCCTCAGCAACCAGGAGTTCCACACAGGCCTCAGAGGCCCAGCGAGCCCAGAGACTTCTCCTAGCTCTCACCAGGAAGATCCCAGTGACTCAAACCCCAGCAGGCCCCTCCTGCCTACGTGGGGATGTGGGCACATAAACACACACACACAAACACACACCCTATGATTAAACCACGGAGTCGCCGTCTACTCACAGACACACCTGTGCCCCTGCAGTGGCTGGGCAACCCTGGCAGGCCTGGACCTGCAGAGACCACAGGTGGGTCGGGCCATCACACAGACCAGAATCAGCTGCCAGGTACCCACACGCCAGACACGCACTGGCTGACACGAACACACACGGAGGCAGGCTAGGACACCGCCCTCTTCCCCCGGCCGGCCCCACCATCAATGTGGGATCCTTGGAAACAGAATTCCAGAGGGGGCTCCAGCCCCAGCGCTAATGGGGCTTCTCCTAGCTCCCTTCCGCCAGTGAGGGTGGGGCATGCCCTTCCTGCCGCCCTCAGTAGGCAGACTGGGATACAGCAAAGAACCTCCCTTCCCACATTCCAGAATGTTCTGGCCTCTCATTGGTCAGATCAGGCCTACCTGGCCCCAGGAGGAGAAGCCACGGTCCAGGGGACCACGTTAGGGCCATCCCAAGTGCCACCTTATGCCTCAGCCCTAAGCTTCCTGCAGGGAGCCCTAGGCCTCGCCTTGGCAGATCCAGGAGTACTGAGCTCCACCCAGGAGACGCTGGGAGTCCCCAGGCCTCAGGCGAGAAGAAGCCAAGAGAGTGCTCCCAAGATCAGCATTGGCCCATAGCCTCGGTGCTCCCTGCGAATGCTCCGTGGGCGCGATTCCCGCCCACATCAGGTGCAGCGGGACCCCGACTCTCCCAGCTCCCGAGGTGCAGGAGCCCCGTTACCTCCTTGGCCGCCCCGTTCCCTCCCTTCCCACGATCAAGCTGATGGCAGCATCTTCAGTGCCGGACAAAGCGCAGGGACCGCGAGTTCAGCAGGTCCTCGGGGTCAGGGAAGACGGAGTCGAGGCGGAAGCTGTGCTCCAGGGCCACCCGCAGCACCTCCTCCAGGAAGCTCGGCGTGCCCACCACCTCCCGCCGCTCTCCCGGCCCCCCAGTCCACAGCGGCTGTAGCCCCAGTCTCCCATACTCCGCTTCGGGGAGCTCCGCAGGGCGGGGGGCCCACTCCAGACGGAAATGAGGGCCCCCCTCTGCCCTGTCCCCAGCAGCCACGCCAAATCGGGCCCGCAAGGCCCCCAGACACTCGGGGTCAGTGCAGAAGAGGTTGGCTCGGAAGGTGTCCACCTGGACGGAGCTCAGCTCGTAGTGGTGCGGGCCCCTGCGGGCCGAGAAGTGCACCAGGCGCGGGCTGACGTCCACGTCTGCGTGGAGCAGGGCGGCTGTGGGCGCAGCGGTCCCCCGAGAGGCCTCCAGCTCCCGCAGGGCATCCAAGAGGGGCCGGATCTGGTAGAAGTCGGCTTCTGCCCTGAGAAGAGCTGTCTCTCCGTAGCCACGGGGCAGGTCCAGGCGGCCCAGGCGCAGGAAGTTGAGGATGTGTCGGAAGGCCTTGCCGTCCCTGTCGATGAAGTAGTGGCCCCCTCCTTGGGGGCTGAGGCTGGCGGGCATGGGCGTGTCCGCCCTAAACATGGCCCCCAGCATGGAGTCTGGGAAGCGGGTCAGGGTCTCCAGGGTGGTGGAGTATAGCGTTCCCCCCACATTCAGGGTCACAGGGCCCCCAAAGGAGGGGGGCGGGGAGGGCACAGGAGGAGGGGAAATTTTGGGGGTACAGGAGGCACCGAAGGAGAAGGAAAGATCGAATTCCCTGGGTGTGTGCAGAATTGGGTGGTGAGGTTCAGGCTAGGTTGGAGGCCCGGGAGGCAAGGCAAGGAGTTCACCCCGGCTACCTTGTGTGAGATGGGGTGGGGGCCTGAGGGAGGGCTGGCTTCAGGCACAGAGATTCCTGAAAGGCTGGGAGAGCAGCTAACAGCAGAGAGCAGTCAGAGAGGGGAAGGAGTTCTCAGTGCAGGCTTATCCGGTTTTGGGAGATATGCCGACAATGGGTTTCAGGAATCCCACTCAGCAGGTGACAGTGGCGAGCTCAGGGCCAACTCTTCGGAGGGTTCAGCTTCCGAGTTCCTGGGCAGATCAATGTCGCCGTAGACGAGTCGACGCAGGGCCCCGGGGCCGGTCGGTCGAAGGCCTGGCTTGGCTCAGGGCACGGGTCCCAGGGGATGGAGGCGGAGGCGCTGATGGGAGCGGATGGCCGAGCCGCCCTATACCGGCTGGGAAGCGACAATCCTCCGTCTGAGCTGGGAGTGTCCGAGGGCGCTGATGGAGGCTGGCGCGAGCCTCAGGACCCGGACGCCGCTGCCTTTCCCGGTTGTCGCCGCGGCCGCCGAGGTCCTCTCCGCCCCCAGGAAGTGGCCTAAGGGCAGCGGCCAGGGCCCTTTAAGAGACGGCCCCGCCCCCGCCCCGCCCCCCGCCCCCGCCCGGCTCGCGCCGCTGGGGTGGAGGCGGGGGCCCAGAGTGGCCGGAGGGACGGGGCGGACGCGCCGGGCGGGCGGCCTCGGGCGGGGGTGGGGTGACTCAGGCGCGTCGCCCCGGATGCGGCCGCGACAGCCCCGCAGGTGTGCTCGGCCTCACGTCTGGAAACCTGGCGGGGGCCGGAGTTCGCCATTCCTGCTCGCTAACACGAGCGAGGCCCGGCCATCCCCCGGGCCAGCGCCCAGTTTCCTCCCAGTGGCTCCCGTGGGGAACTCCCGAGGGGGCGGGTGCTGAGCAGCCGAATTCCGGGGATGCCTCCGGGCCGGGGTGGCTGGAGCCTGCTCTCTCCGTCCCGGCGCCGTGCCAGCTCCCGCTAAGGGAAGGCCGGCCCCCACCCCGCACGGGCGGCCCCTCGCGCCGGGACCGAGAGCCCGGGGCCCCCAGCTGAGGCTGAAGCTGCCCCCTCCCTCCCCGGGGAGGGTCACGAGCTCCCAGCCGACCCCTGCACCCTGCGGCGCCCCGAGGGTGAAGCCCAGGAAGCGAACCACGAAGGCAGAGCAAAGAACTGAGGCTTTAATGGGAAGGGGCTGGCGGTGGGGAGCGGCAGCCAGGGGTGCGCGGCCCGGAAGGCGGGGATCAGAGCGTGTGGAGGTCGTGACTCCGCCGGCTCAGCTTCTCCGGGTCGTCTGACGCCATTAGGGAGAAGTCCCGGAAGATGTCGAGATACGTCTCATCTCCTGGAGGGGATGCGGAAAGGCTGGGGAGGCCGCACAGCCCTGCCCGAGCGCGGAAGGGCGCTGCGGGGCAGCTGGGGCGGGTCGGGTCCGAGCACGCGCTTCCGCCGGCCGTGGGTGGAGGGACCTCGTGCATCCTGCACCCAGCACCCGCGCCTGTGTTTTGTGCCGCGGGCCTGGCACGTCAGATGCACCCATACATATTTGTTGAATAACTGATCGTATTAACCAATGCTGTTGGGTATAAGGGGGGAGGGACAGGTGACCAGGCGGAAGCCCAGGGCTCAGGCATGGGGCGTGGGGTGAGTGGATACTCTACCTGCCTGGCCCTGGGCGGCCTCGGCCTCCCTCATCTTTGCCAAGCGTAGCCTGGAGGAGAGGGAATTAAGGGATGAATGGCGGTCCCCTTGTTCCCCCTTCCCCAACCTTTGAGCTGGGTGTCTCATTCCCGTCTCCCTAGGGTCGGGTCTAGCGTCTCAGAGATGCCCGTCTGCGTGTGGGTCCCTGAGTGCTGGCTGGCTGGCTGAACTCATTCCCAGACCTTGCCAGCACCCCCCTTCCTAATCCTGAGTGCACCCTCTCTCTCGCTGGCCCCGCCCCTTCCCGGGCCCCACCTTTCACGCTCCAGTCTCCGCGCTAGCCCCGCCCCGAATGGATAGTCCAAGCACTAGCCCCGCCCCTCGCGCCGTCTCACAAGGTGACGATGTCAGCGTTGGCTGTTTCCATGGCGATGGTCAGAGGGTCCCTGCCTTCAGAGTCCCGGGCCCCCAGGTCGGCCCCCCGTTTCAGGAACAGGCAGGCAAGCCTGGAAACAATGGCCACGTTCAGAAGGCCCTCCCCTCCCCCGCCCCAGAGCCTTCCTCCCCAGGGTCGTCATCCCTACCCAGTGTGGCCAAGAATGGTAGCGTGGTGCAGGGGCCCTCGGCCCGCACTGTCTGCCTGGTTCACGTTCGCCCCGTTCTGCAGGAGAAACTCACAGGCCAGAAGAGAATTCTGCATCAAGAAGGGGAGGGGACAGGTCGGGGGTGTGGCATCTTTAGAGGTGGGTATGGTAATGGGGGGTTACAGCTGAGTGTCTAACTCATCACAGGCATTTGTTAAATCCAAAGTATAACAAAGAGAGTGCACTAGAGAGAGGTTAGTAACTAGTGTAACTAGTTCAGCCTCTCCTGGATTCCAACTCAGGTTCTCTGCCTCCAATCACACATTCCTAACACCTGATCTAGTTTGCTCATCTCTCCCTACAGCGTGGGGGCTTCAGGGAGCAGGCTGGGGGAGGGGTGAGGGAGACAGGGAGGGCTGCACGGGTCTCACAGCAGCTGTGGCCTGGATCAGTGGCGTCGCATTCTCCTGACCCCCGTTGACCCAGTTGACGTCAGCTCCGTGCGCAAGGGCATCGGCCATGGTGGGGAGGGATGGTGGGTGCCCAGCAGCTCGAAACAGCAGGGCCCCAGGGTGCAGGTTTCCCAGGTCCTCAGACGGGGGCTCTGTTAGGGGGAACGAGCTCTGAGACTGGGAAGAAAACCCTCCCCCCGCACAGCCCCCGATGCTGCAGTGGGGTGGTCGGGATGGTGGAGGCAGATGCCACGCCTGGGTGTGGGCCTGTGGAAGTGGCAGCGTGCATGTGTGCAGGCCCCTGTCGTGACTCACTGCATCCTGTCCAACCACCCAGACTGGTCTGGATGACACAGGTGAGCTGACTGCGCCAGCCAGAGTACTCTGCGGCCAAACTCACGCCCTCCTCCTCCCCTGCAGATCCCAGGCTCCGTCCCTGCCTTTTCTCAGGCTGTTGGCACTGGTTATTTGTCGCCCTTCCTGCCTGCTCCCTGCCCCACACTTTTTTCTTTAAGAACAGAACACTCTCCCTGGTAACCCCTGAAACTGTAGTCTGGTCCCCCCAACGTTCTCAATGGGAAGACCTGGGCCTCGTACCCTGTGCCTCCCTGCAGGGCCTGGCGTGGTGTGGAGCACACAGCAGGTGCTCGATGTTGGCCCATCCCACCCCGTACCTGGCTTGGATCTGAAACTCCCCTGCTGGGGCCTGATGGAAGGCTTTGGAGGTATAGGAGGGTGTCCCCGAGGGGCCCCCCGGCCACTTCTTCGCCCTCGAATCTCAGGGAGCTTGGTCAGGAATTTCTTCTCCACATACTTGGCATGAATCCAGGCCTCCTTCTCCTGCCTGGTGGAGGGGAGAAAGGGACAGGCTCCCTTCTCCCCATCCCAGGTCCTCTCCCTCTTCCCCCCCGGCACCCAGCCCATCCTCACCGGGAGCAGCTGGGCCCTGGCTTCTTCACTGCCATGGCCTCCACGCGGGCCTCATAGATCTGGTTGATGACCACATTTCCCAGCTCGCACATGAGCTTCGAGAGGCAGGGGCAGAGGCACACGCAGGTGGGGGACAGGGGCGGAGGTGAGTGTCTCAGCCCTCGGGGTCCTGCATTCCCAAGTGTCCTCACCCCCAGTCTTCACGGCATCCCAAGCTACCTTCACTAGTTCCGGTTCCCATGAGTCGAGAGTCAGGGAGCGGACTTTGGAGAAATGAACCCCAAGGCTCCTGCAGGGCGAGAGGGGACGGGGTCAGAGCTTCTGTGGGGCCGCGGCCTGGGGAGTCTGCGGCTATGGCTGTGGCTGAAGAGACTCGAGGCGAGGCCTGCATGTAGGGGTGCCGGGCCAGGGCAGGGCAAGGAGGCCCTGGAGCCTTGACCTGGTTCTGGCAGGATTCTGCCTGGTCCCTATCCTTCTTCCGTCTTCCTTGTGTTTCGTTTTAAGGCCCTCATCCACCCCCCTTTCCCCAGTACACTTTGGCCTGGACAGCGCTTGCCATGCCTCCTTCTGAGTGTCCAATAAACTCCTCTGAGTGTCCCCCAACCAGGGCCAGACCAGGATTCCGAGGGACTGGGCCCAACTGTGTCTACCTTGTGCCCCAGCCCCCATTGCTCAGTGACCCGGATGAGAGAGGAAGATGGACAGGACAGGAGAGGAGCCTGTGTGACAGGCTCTGCCTCAGGGGGCAACACTGCAGCCCGAAGGAGCCGGGCTCATGTGTGGGGTCTTGGGGAGTGACCTGTGGATGCCGGAGCACTGAATGCACAGGGTGACACCGAGGTTGATGCTGGCCCATTCTGGGGCTGGCTCTCGGCAGTCGCAGCACTGGGCGTTGCCGTCCACGCTCTGCACCTGGGCTGCCACATGTCCGACTCCCCCAGGCTCCCTCCCCCTGGCCATGCCGCCACAGCCCAGGGTGGCAGCAGAGCCCATGGCCAGGTGTCCTGAGCCCTGGGGGGAGACAGGAAGAAAGGACACGCAGTGGGCCTAGGGTTGGGGGTGCCCCATCTCCCAGGGCAGCCTGGCCCTGCATCCCCACATGGAGGTACCTGGCCTGGACCCCTCGGGCTGTCTTCAAGGCGCGCCTGGCTGAAGGCCGAGGCAATGCTGCTCTGCACAGCGCTGACCCACAGCTGCAGGAGGCGCTCGGAGTCAGCCTGGAGGAGGCAGGACCTGGGGAGGAGGGGCAAGAGGATGAGGAGGGCCTGTGGAGCGATGTGGCAGGAAGGGCAGGTGGGCAGTCAGCCGGTGCTGAGCTGGCCTCGGTCGCCCTGCAGTGCAGACGGTCCCTGCCTCACTGGGCCGTGGCTCGGGAGTTTTTGGCTTTGCGAAGGTGCAGATACACACCCATCCAACCACTCTCCGATCCACCTGCAGTGCAGTATTTACTAAGTTACACGAGGCATTCCGCACTTGGCTTTAGCATGCTTGAGGCAGACGATCTTGCCCGGCTGTAGCTGAGGTGAAAGTAAGTGCTCTGAGCACGGTTAAGGTGGTCTCGCCAAGCTGTGATGCTCCCAATCGGTGTACTGAATTTTTTTTTTTTTTTTTTTTTTTTTTTGACAGGCAGAGTGGATAGTGAGAGAGAGAGATAGAGAGAAAGGTCTTCCTTTTTGCCGTTGGTTCACCCTCCAATGACCGCCATGGCTGGCGCGCTGCGGCCAGCGCACCGCGCTGATCCGATGGCAGGAGCCAGGTACTTCTCCTGGTCTCCCATGGGGTGCAGGGCCCAAGCACTTGGGCCATCCTCCACTGCACTCCCGGGCCACAGCAGAGAGCTGGCCTGGAAGAGGGGCAACCGGGACAGAATCCGGCGCCCCGACCGGGACTAGAACCTGGTGTGCCAGCGCCGCAAGGTGGAGGATTAGCCTAGTGAGCCGCGGCGCTGGCCTGAATGTATTTTTGACTTGGGATATTTCCAGCTGACGGTGGGCTTATGGAGGTAGAACCCCATCACAAACACGCTCCTGTAGGTCTGTACAGATTGGTAATATCCTCCGTGATACCCCTCACCTCCCATTCCCTCCTCCTAGCGATCTCCAGCCGCTAATGGTTGAGGGCCTGAAGCTGCAGGCAGGCCGCCCCGTGACGACTGGCAAACATGTAGATATAACAGAGTCTCAGCCCAGGACTGCACTCACTTGCTGGTAGACACCACTTCAAAGCAGAACCGCCTTTCTGAGTCTGGGCAGAGCTTCACCGTGCAGAGCCGAAGGTCGTCCACCACCACGGTCACAGGGTCCTGCGGAGAGGAGATGGGGGCACAAGTGCCCAGCCACGGGCGAGGGCTGAGTCTCCCCGGGGGCAG